AGGGGGTAGCCGCAGGGTCAGGCCTTCGTCCTGCCGGGGGATTTAGGGGCTTCTGTGGGGCCAGCTCCCGCTGACCTACTGCCGAACCCTTCCTCGCGTCCTGGTACCTCCTCAGGTACGTTTCTAATCTTCATGTGCAAGACGGCCATTTTCGAGGTGAAGTTAATTTTCCTCAAGGCACAAGTGCTCTCGAGAGACATGAGGAGCTTAAGCTTCATCTGCTAATAAGGACTCCAGAGGATAAAAATATTTTGTTTTCAAAGCAATGCTTTGTTTTTAATGGCACGTGTTTTGCTGGCTTTGGAGAAGCACTTGTTCTGCAAGGAGGGAGCAACTTTCCATGCAGGAGTAGCTCGTTTGATCTAGCTTTGTTTTCATTTGCCTTTTTTACGGAAAATTTAGTAACTATCATTTACAGATATTGCCGCGATCTTAATGACAATTATGACAACGTTTACATTTTAACACTGAAAATGAGAATTAAATGGCTACCTAAAGCTTATGTTGCAAAATAACTACACAGAAAGCAGATTTTTTTGTGACTTGAAGATCAATCTGCTAGTATTCCTCTGAATTATTTAATAAAGTTTGGACTTAATTTTGTTATAAAAATAATAATGATGTTGTATTAAGATTGATGTATAAATTCTTCTAATGATCTTAATTTTTTTTTTTTTAAACAAACAAAAACCCGAACTTAGTTCCAGGATCATTTTCAGAAGAATTTTCTACTGGCTACCTCCTAGGAGAACTTCTACACAAATATGGTCTTCAGGATGACTTTAATCAATTTTCACAGAGCAGGTTAGTACGTATGGGTAACATATCTCACAGAAATTAGACAAAATATTTATTTTTCAGTTAGGATTTGCTAATGCAGACTGGGAAAGACATATGGAAATTATCAAGATTTCATACATTTATCAGTAAGTCAAAAGCTACTTGTATTTGACACATGGGTTAGCTTTGTATTTCCAGGGAGATTGATCATACTATTTCAAGAAAATTATGCATTTTGATTGCAACTATAAAAGCAACAGGTTAGACCAAAAGTTCAAGAAGCCTTTCAAGGATGTCTCTAAGATTGGGGATATTGACACTGTCCCCGTGAGCTGTGTAGAGCCAGGAATACAGAAGTGTGGTGTGGTGGTGACCATTACATCTTCACTAAAATGAAAATGGTGGAGATGGGTTGGCTTTGGTTGAAGCTTTGGCAGAAGATCATATAAGAATTTATACGTTTACAAGTAAACTGGGGTAATATCTACAATGAAGAAGAACAGAAAAACAGGAAGTTGAAAAATCTTGTATAGTTCTTTGAGCCTTTGTATGTTGATGATGTAGTTCATGGGGTTCCTTGGTTTATGCTCTTATTTTGGCAGATGTTGGTGCACTTGTGTATCAAGTGTGCCAAGCTGTACATCCTCCTCCTTTTTCTTCGTGAACCTCTTTTTTACCT